TCCATAATCAATATGCTGAGGAACCCCAAGCTTACCATAGCTAGGGATCTAACCAGTCCATTTCTAAAGCTATACGGCTCCGAACTAGTAAGAGATACCAAGTCCCTCCCAGGCATGCTACGGTTACTGCATCGTAAGTAACCTTCTCCAATAGAGCCCATCCCTTAACTATCATTCAAATATCCAAGGTATGCAGATGGCATATAACTTGATTACAAGCAAGCCGCACAAAAATAAAATACTCATACCGATAATGATGCAGAACCATAATAATATAATCATGCACAAATAAAAGAACTGAAAACGGTAGTTGCATACCTGCAACGTCCGACGCTGCTCGTGTATCCAAGGTAGTCATCTGAAAAGCCCTGCCTCCTACCGCGGGTGCCTCTGCACGGCCCTGAAGGCCGTCTGTGATCCTTAAAGTTGCAGGGGCAGGTGCCATCACCCGTCTGGTCGGAAACAAACTGGGGCACTAGGCCTTCTTGTGGCCCCACTGGTTGTAGTGAAAACATATCAAGTCTGATCCTTGTGTGGTGGTAACAGTACAATCCCTGCAAAAATGACCAGTCCGACTGCACTTGAAGCAGCCAGACTCACCACCGCTACCACTCCTGCATGCACCCCCGTGCGTCCTGCCATACTTCCCGCACCGGCCGCGGTCCTGATAATCCCTTGATATCGAATCCAAACCCTTGGGCCTTTTTCCCGAACCTATGGCTACTTGAACCTCATCCGGCTTCCTCTTCCGGATCTGCTCTAAATCAATCTCCCTTTCTCTAGCCCGAGCGATCATATCCTCCGATGTTTGGCAATTGGACTTGCTCACAAACTGCCTGATGTCATCCATCAACATCTCATGATATCGTGCCTTCTTCATCTCCTCGTCCGCGACATACTGCGGAACAAGAAGGGACCTCTCCTTAAACTTAGCAGTGATCTTTGCCACAGTCTCAGTAGTCTGCGTCAAATCCTGAAACTCCCGTGCCAACTGCTGCACCTCAATAATCGGTGAAAACTCAGCCTTGAACCTGGCTGAAAAATCACTCCATGTCATCACGTCCAACGCGGCATCATCACCCAAAGCATGACCAATCTCTTCCCTCCAATCCCTCACTCTGTCCTTCAGAAGATAGGAAGTGAGTCTGACCTTGTCCCCCTCAGGACATCGGCTCGTACGTAAAGTGTTGGCAACATCAGCCAACCATCTGCTGCTAGCAATGGGGTCCCTAGCCCCATGATAATCTGGTTCCCCACAAGTCCTAAACTCTCGAAATGTCAAAGTACACACTCCCATTAAATCCATCATCTCGGTACGGAAGGCTCCCAACCTCTCATCCAAAATCTCCAGTGTACCTTCCTTAACTGTGCCAAAGATCACAGGAGTCTGATCTACAATATTGTGCGTAACCGTTGCTGATATCAACTCCCTCATCCGATCCTCGAGCTGCTCGGCTCCTGAACCCGAGCCTGATCCCTCTCCGATGCCTGGTCCACCCACTGGTCTCTCTCTCTCAACGTCACCATGCTGAAAAATATAATACATCCACTTATCAGAATACTTATCACTACTATGAGACCAAACACACGCACTACCAGGTTCCCAGTCTTGTCTCGGCCTTTCCCGAATTGAGTACGGATCCTCTGCTTTCAGTAGTACGGGCCCATACTACCTTCCACATCTATCCATACTTTCCTCACGAACTGCTTCGCCTCCACCAGGTCCCTATTTCCACTACTACTGCTCCCAGCACTACCGCACTACCTCACCTAGGCTTGCCCTAGGGAAACCTATGACTCAAACCAAACCAGTCCTCAGCAGCTGAAGGACTCCTTGTGATGCCAATTAGCCATTACCTGGATACCATCACATGTGATGAGGCTTAGATAATCCTTCGAGTAAAATACTCGTCCCTACAACGGTTGGACAAAAACAAGAGCTGCGAAATAGGGCCAAATCCAGCACTATGAGATTATTCAACCCTGATCACATGTGACGTGGCGTATCAACCTAATGGCTAACTCCCATCACTCAGAATCCCACAATGCACAAAGTAAGCAACATTCAGACAAAGGAAAATCTAACCATAACATACTCAAGCAATCATATTCTCATATCAAGAATCTGTACTAGCATGCAACACAAACTCATAAACTCAGGCATAACGTAAACATGCTATCCTACTACTGTTTAACCAGAATTATCATGCAGCTCAAAAGCACATATAATAGGCACATAAGGCATCCTCCCTAGATCCTTAGTCCTAATCTAGCATGTTATTCTATTAACTAATAATCATAACATAATTTGTATGGGTATTTTGGGGTACTTACTTGAGCTCGGCTGATTGCATGCACCACACCCCTTTTCTCTTTTCAAAATTCTTTTTGCTTTTCTAAAACTATTTTCTTTCTCAAACTCTTTTTACAAAACTGTCTTTTCATTTTGAAAACTTCTATACCAATTCCTTAGTTTGAGTTCAGACACACCCGAGAGTACGTCCGAATCCCTCAAACCAAGGCTCTAATACCAACTTGTAACATCCCAAAATTCAAGACTAAAAATTTATTTTAATAAAACATTACTTAAAGCATAATCATCAATCCAAAACATAATCAGAGTATTAATTTCCAAAACATAAGTTCATTATCAGAGTAAAACATTCCTAGGATGTCTAATCTATGGTGTGTGCCATGCGATCACCACGAGCTCTTCCCTCCGCTACCGGAAGTACCTGAAACCAAAACTGAAAACCGTAAGCATGAAGCTTAGTGAGTTACCCAACCTACCACATACCATGCATAAGCACATACTGCACATACTGGGCCACGCCCGCTATTCTGGGCCTCGCCCTTTACCTTGGGCATCACTCGCTACAACGGCCCCGCCACTCCAAGCCTCGCCTAGCTTCGATCCCCGCTCGGATACATATATGTTTCACTTAGGCCTCACCTTTCATTGGGCCCCACCCGCTAACATATAATAGCACATAAGAATATAACAACACATAAGCTAACATATACTAATAAATCCTATCCTGAGGCCTCGCCTATCTTAGGCCTCGCCCTTTTCCTGCTACTGATGAGTCATGGAACCCCGTCCACGCCCTTACTGGTGATGAGATACGGGCCCAGCCCACACTCACTCTTTCCCTAACTTGGTCCTCGCCCTTACTCTGCTACTGATGAGATGTGGAACACCGTCCACACTCTGCTATTGGTGAGATATGGGACCTCGCCCACACTCACCTCCCTACCAGGATCATACATGTATCACACAAACAACAAGTATAACTATCGTGCAAACCATTCCTTGGGCACCCGCCTGCTAACATTGGACCTAATTCCAAATATCAAACTGGCATACAGTGCCTAAGGCTAACCCCTGGGTCTTCCTACTCGTATCTACATGGGCCGACATTGTACCCTTAGAACCATTCACACAAAGGGAAACTCGTCTGCACTTGCTGAACTTGCTGAACCCCTCTGCCGCTGCCCGCCAACTCTTCTAAATTGCAGCCCCACTAGCTCCCCGAGCTATCAATACCAATATAACACTTAGTCAAACTATCCTCCGAGAGTCAACTAAGTCAACCCTGGTCAAAGTCAAAGTCCTGGTCAAAGTCAACCTTCCAGGTTAACCCTACTCGCCGAGTCTACCTACTGACTCGCCGAGTTCATTAGCTCAGAATCCTTTCATTCGCGACTCGACTTGCCGAGTCAGCCCCTGACTCGCTAAGTCTACCGATTTCCGAGTCTGGACCTGTCCAACTCACTGAGTCCCCACTCATCTCACTGATCCGAGTCTTAACTTGAAGGGTTTGGGGTTTTGCGACTTGACTCGCCGAGTCTAAGAACAGACTCGCCGAGTCCAAGAACAGACTCGCCGAGTCCAAGGCAAACTTCAACAGACTCACCGAGTTGTTCTTCCAACTCGCCGAGTTCCTGCCTAACTTCATCCAACTCGCCGAGTCGAACCATGTGACTCGCCGATTCGCTCCAGTTCTTAATCCATTCAGTGGCATTTCGAGCCATGCAGGGGCACCAAATCATAGATCCATAGTTCCATAGTCCATTCCCCACGTAAAGTTGCAAACTTTACGTATAATTAAGGAGATCTAGGCTGAAAACACTCTAGGGCTAAGTTTTAAGACAACCATGCTTCACCTACACCCCCAAGACTAATACGTTATGATTTTCTAAGCCAGAATACACTTAGATCTAAAGTAGCAACTTCATATTTGGGCTCTAACTCGAAATGATTCAAGGACATGGCATAAAAGCCCCAAAACTCATAACCAAGATAGATCTAGATGCAAAGGAGTCCAAGTACTAGTTTATTACCTCCAAGTGCTCTAAAATGTCATCCTAATCCCAGATTTATAGCCCCTTCTCGCACCTCCAAGATCCTTCTTCCTTCTCCAGGCTTTAATGCACTCTTCAAGGCAAGAATTAGCCCAAAAACAGATATGTTGGCTAGGGTATGGTGTTCTGGGTTAGAGAGGCAGTAAAGGAACACTAAGGAAGAGAATGAGATGTTTAAATAGGATCCAAGTCCCAGATTTAGGGTTTTCCTCGTTCAGACCAGACTCGCTGAGTCCCCTTTGCCGACTCGCCAAGTTGGTTACTTAATTGATCCCCCGGATCCCGCTCCGACTCGTCGAGTTCCTCCCTGGACTCGACGAGTTGACCCCTTTGACTTAGGTTTTCTTTCCTTTCTTGACCTTTCTGATTTTGGGTGTTACAATGTGAGAACCCGAACCTTTTTCCGTTAACACTAGCCCAATTTCTGTTAAACAAAAACTTTAAATTTATTTGTTCCGTCAGATTTTTTATGGTTCAAAAATCATTTAATTTTATATAAGATTCGGAACTAAAATCACACGAAAACCCGAGTTTTTCCTTCGAAAATCAGTGGATCCGGTCCATTTGGCGATCACGATCGTGAATCCGATCACGACCGTAAACTGTTCATGGCTGATCAACAATGATGGCTGAAAATGACTGCAATGATGGCTGATGGACAAGTTACAAAGGTTGATTCAATAAGAGTGCAGAGTGAGAATGATCTTTTTAGGTACGATAGTTACACGTACTTAACTTGGGATGATTTTGAAGCAGTTCTTACAATGGATGAGCTGACCGGTGTTGTTATTGTGTCTTATATGATGTAAGTGCAAGAAATTTAATTTAAATAACAATGTGTCTTAAAAAATGTTTAATGAATTTAGTGTTTGTATGATAACAGGGTGTTTTTTTAACAAATTGAAGTATGGCTCCCCAGAAAGAGACCATGGAATTTGCTTTGTGAACCCGGCAGTAATCTCACCAAGTACGCGTAAAGGGAAATCTAAGAATATTGACGATGCAAGCAGAGGTTTAGCAGATCGGTTGTCTAAAAGAAAGGGCAATGACATCATCTTTATGCCCTACAATCCCGGGTATTGTTATTTGACATTTTATTTTTAAAATGACTGCAATTATGTTATTTGACATTTTTTTTGTGGTTTTTGTAGAAGACATTTGGTATTGGGTGTACTAGACATGAAATCGGATACTTGCTATTATCTTGATTCCTTGAGCTCTGGCAATTTCAATATGCAGTTCAAGCAAATTGTTGATTCGTAAGTAATATAAATTATCAAAACACTTAATGTGAGTACAATAAACACATATTTGTTAATGTTTTTTATAGGGCAATGGTTCTGTACACTACACAAACTCGATCCAACAAAAGGGTTAAACTAAATTGGGTTAATGTTACGGTCAGCACTTAATTCCTTATTGAAATTGTAGTTTTAACTTTATTTTTTGGATCAATTGAAATGATCATTTTATATGTAATTGTGTAGTGTCCAGTTCAGCCCGGATCTACCGAATGAGGCTACTACATGCTAAGGTTCATGAAGGAGATAGTGGAAGAAGGAATTGAAGTGTTGGTCAAAGACAATGTAAGGATATAGCATTCTACTTTCATTACTATAATTTATGGCATCCTTACTGTTACATAATATGTGCTTTCATTCATTTGAAAGTACAATGCTCTATTAAGAAAGAATAATTTACATTTTATGCTTAGTTGTTAAATATAGCAACTTACTGTTACAGAATATGTTAATATGCTATTTTTTATTAATAAAAACAATATGCAAATGTTTTCACAGATCGGGGATGGCAAAGCTGAGTACACAACTGCTGATATCGATGAGATACGTGAAGAATGGTCAACGTTTGTTACAATGTTCATTTATCGATGATATGTATGGTCTTTTGACAATGTATCCGCAAAACAATGTTATGGTTAACCACTAATGCTAGGTATGGTCTTTTGACATGTGTAATGCTAGGTAGTCTTTTGAGACACATGTACAAATTTTTGCTAACTTTTAGTAATGTTACTTAAGGTAACATGTAGTTACAACTTAGGTAATTCAACATATATGTAAAGTTTTTTGACGTTTAGATGAAAATGAATGTTTTAGTATATTTGTCATTTATTATGTGTATTCACGTTGTAAATGTGTGTTGTAAATGCATGTCGTAAAAACTTCGTAAAGGCGCGTAGTAAAAATGAGAGACGTAAGGTTACGACATGCGAATGAGCGTCGTCTTTCTTTATGACATGGCCTTCCTTGACACGCATTGCATATCATAAGCGCGCGTCGTCTCTAGACGACGCGCAATTGAGCGTCGTCTTCCTTTATGACATGGCCTTCCTTGACACGCATTGCGTATCATAAGCGCGCATCGTCTATAGACGACGCGCATTCGAGCGTCATCTTCCTTTATGACATGGCCTTCCTTGACACGCAATGCGTATCATAAGAGCGCGCCGTCTCTAGACGACGCGCATTTGCACGTCGTCTATCTTTATGACATGGCCTTCCTTGACACTCATTGCGTATCATAAGAGAGCGTCGTAAATGCGCATCGTCTATATTTATGACATGGCCTTCCTTGACACGCATTTGCGCGTCGTCTAAGCCTTTTACGACGCGCAATGAGCGTCGTAAAAGGCCTTTTTCTAGTAGTGTGAGAACCCGTTTCCGGCAGTGAACCCAGCCTATATATATATATATATATATATATATATATATATATATATATATGTGTGTGTGTGTGTGTGTGTGTGTGTGTGTGTGTGTGTGTTTCTACCCTTCAGTTACGCTTTTCTGCCTGAAAATTCATCTATATTCGAATATTAAGCGATTAGGTGTAAAACACCCCTAAGTTAACAATTTAGCTTTAGGCGATTAGGTGTAAAACACCCCTCAGAGTTTACTTGTTCGAATATTAAGGTCACGGATTAACCTACTAATAGTTTTTTTTTTTATGTAACACATATACAAATAACTAAGTTAACACATAACACTCTTATTAATTTATTTATTTGGCCAATTTCTTTATATTTTCGTCCTTGACTTTTCAATTGTGGGACATCTCACGGTTTATTACAGTGAGGGACTTCTAAACATTTTTCGGGGGACTAAATGTTAACATGCAAAGACCCTTAAGTATAGTTGAAAGTTATGTATTCAAGCAGGGTATATAAAAGGGAATGAGTAGAAAGGACTTTTAAGAGCGCTGGAAGGCGGGACATTGAGATTTTGCATTCTTTTTATGAACTTTTGAATTTGGCATTTTAAGTTCAATTGAGTATTACTACTCATAAGACCGGTCATATGTCCCAAAGAATTAACTCATACCTGCTGTTATGCTCGAATGTTGACAATCTTCTCACTTTCCGTTTTGCACAAGTAGCTTCGGGAGATGTGCTCGTGTGTGATTAACTTGCTTTCAAATTTTCAATAAAAAGAGCAGGTTAAATCTCAAGGCACACAACTCACTTACCATCTCAACTGTTTTGAGAAGATTTGGTTGCTTGGGATTGGATCAATTTTTTTTTTCGGAAATGATAATGCAAAAATTTAGATGCAAAATGCAAAAAGTATAATAAAAATAGAGTAGAAAGAAAATCTTTTTGGTTTTTGAAATTTTTTCTAAAAATGACAAAGAAAAATAATGCAATGCAATGCAATATGTACAAAATTACATGCAACCTACATGCAACGGGATAATGCATGGATGGATGCCCCTCCCCAAGCTTAAAATAAGCATCATCCTCGATGCTTGGAGAGAGGCATAGCCATCCTATTGAGGACCGAGCGGTGGCTATGGAGGGAGCTGTGAAGGATAATCTGTAGGATAATAGGGAGGCCATTTGGGTTGGGATGATGATGGTTGTAGCGGCTGTGTGGGGAACACAAGAACTCTATGGATATCGCTCAACAGGTGATGAATGTTGCGATTGTGCTGCTCTTGAGCGGCTCATCTCTGATCATGTTCAGCCCACCTCAGCTCTTGTTGGGCCCAATGCTCTTCTTGCAAGTTACGGTAGTCCTGAAATCAGAAGTGATTTCAGCGACACCCGTATAAATTTCCCCAACTTCCTGTTGTATGTTGGTGTAACGATGGTTTAAGCGTGCAAACTCACCCATATAAAGATTGTGTTCAGAAGAAGGAATGGGGCGAGATGAGCTAGAGGCACCAGTAGTAGGAGCAGGAGGAGGAGAGGGTGGAGGACTATGATCTACTGCAACACCTAAGTTGGATTTGAGTTTCCAAGTAGTTGATGGAATGTCATTGGCAAAATTGAGTATCTTCTTGTTTCTTCTATCTACACGTAGATACTCTTTCCCATCTACTGTCCAATGAACATCCCCAGTGGGAAGGCGGTGGAAAAGATGCATTGTTTCCATAACATTAGTTGATAGACGAGTACAGCTCATGACTATATTTGTTGGGTTATTGGGTAGATGGAGGCCAAGATGCTCATCAATAATAGAAACCATGCCTCCACAATGTAGCTGCCCACCATTGCTCGTAGCACTTCTGAGCATTTTCTAAATCACCCAACACCCAAAATGAGGGACTTCTGCAGGCTCGTTAATCATACATCACAAGGCTTCTAGCTCTTTCTTATTAGCCTTGCTAATCTCTTCTTGAGGGAATAAGATAGAAGCAATGATCCGGTGAGCGACTTTCAAGACCGGGTGGATAATGCTAGAAGCTTTGGCTATGCCTGACTGATACTCATACTCATAAGAGATGGTTCTCCAAAAATTTGCACGGTTTTGCTCAAAAACAACATTTTTTTCTGCCCTTTGGGGTGTATACATCCTTTCTTACTTTTGGAGCACCAATCATATCACAAAGGATGTCAGCATGAAACTGATGGGTTTGATTGAGCAAACTGAAAGTTAGAAGATTGGTTTGATAGTCAAAGGTAATGGATGACAAAAGCTCCAACATTGGTGTTTGATAACTAATTGCATGTAGATTCAAAAGACCCTCCCATCCTATGTTTTTAAAGAGCTTGTGGACACCCTTGTAGATATGTAAATCCTTGAGGGCTTGGATGTCCACAAACTTTTGAGCACCCATTGTTCTGGTAACAAGATTTGCATACAAGATTTCTTATCGATTGGTCTAAAAAATAAGACCAAATTCATAAGGGTTGTCCATGGCATCTGGGTCTTGTTCATCATGTGAAGTTCCAATTCTAGGTCTTTTACCCCAGGACGCCATTACCCAAATGAATCAACAAAGTATTGCACACAATTTATGACATTTGAAGCACAAGAACTAGCAAGTTTCACCAAAAATCACCCAAAAAGGAATATGGTTCTATCTAAATGCACAAAGTAAGAGTTTGGAACAATTATACCGATTTGTGCTTGAAAATGGTGGTAGGGTGATATCCAATGCTTCCCCAAGCTTATCCTAGAAGAAATTTCAAGCATTAGATCGATATTTTGAAGTTAAAAATTTCTAGGGTTTTGCTCAAAAACCCCAAAATCGGCCATGAAAAGGGTGGAATAGAGATGGAAGATAAAGAAGATGAAGAAAAGAGAAGAATTTCATACCTTGGAGCTTGATTTTTGATGCAAAATTAAGGAAGATTGAGTATTTTGAAGGGTTTTTTCGAAGGGGGACAGTAGGGAGGAGAAGAATCGCAGGTTAAGTGAAAAGAATGAGATAAAAAAAATCAAGTTTTAACCTTAAAATCGTCCAGCTCTGTTTTTACGTTTACACGGCCCGTGTAAACTAAAGAGTAGCATTTACACAGCATGTGTAAACTCTGCATCTGATCAAATCTGGTCTGGTCGTTTACACGGCCCGTGGAAATTATAAGCATAAGTTTACACGGCCGTGTAAACTTCTGAGAAGGCCAAAAAAATTGATATTCACTTTTTGAATTTGCAAACTACTAAACCTCTACTACCGGAAAAATGATTTTAAACCCTCTTTAAACATGAAAAACATCTCGGAAGTTTGAAAACAAAGAAAATACAATGAAAATATAGGAAATGACAAAAATACCCCCGGGTTGCCTCTCGGTTAGCCGCCCCTTTTTAGTGTCGTTGGTTTGACTTGGACCCAACTATTTGTGCTTCAGTCTTGATACGTGGGCCTCTCCAACACATCAACCTCCTCGCCATCTCCTTCTTGACATGTATATTCTTTAAGAGATCTAGTGGAGTTTTTTGCTCCTGAATCTTGTGCTTGTTCCACCGGTGGAAGGATTTTGACTTTGGTGGATGGCTTGGGTTTTATATCATCACTCCTCACATGCTTCTTGTCATCAATAAACTCTAAAATCTCCAACACTTCATTATCCATATCAAACTTCTTTGCAAGCTCTTTGGCTTTGTCCCTATCTAGTTTCGTGACACAACTAACTCTATAAATTCATTGTTAGACAAGTTCAAACCGTTTTCTGTTGAGGAATGGATCAAATTGACAAAATTAACAGATTGAACATCAAAAGGAGTCTTTTTTGCTTCATGCACATTGAAGTTGATAACTTCACCATCAAATTCCATACTCAAAGTTCCATTGTAGACATCAATTTTTTGTTTTAGAAGTTTTAAGAAAACGTCTACCCAAAAGTATGGAAATTGAACTTGGAGAGTCATCATCTCCCATATCTAAGACATAAAAATAAGTCGGGAAGACAAATTCATCGACTTGCACTAACACGTCCTCTAATACTCCCTTTGGGTGTACCAAAGACCGGTCAGCAAGTTGGATGATCACACCGGTTTTGCTCAATGTTCCTTCACCAATTGATTTGAAAAGAGAATATGGTAGGACATTTACGGATGCACCTAGATCAAGCATACCTCGGGTACATAAAGATTCCCCAACTTGCAAGGCATGGTAAAGACACTGGGATCCTTGCACTTCGGGGGCATCCTCTTTTGCAAAACTGCGGATACATGCTCTCCAACTATTACGACTTGATTTCCTTTTAATTTCTTTTTAGATACACAAAGATCCTTAAGTAACCTTGCGTGTGTAGGTACCTGCTTGATGACCTCGAGGAGTGGAATGTTGATTTGAACTCTCTTGAACATTTGCATGATCTCATTCTCCTCCCGTTCTTTCTTCGTGCTCTTTAATCTTTAAGGAAAATGGAGCAGGTGTGGCTTTAGACTCAGTGATGAAGGGCTTCTTTTCGATTGTTTTCTCTTCCTCTTTCTCTTTTTTGGTTGCCTCTTCAACCACTATTTCTTCTTCCTTTTGATCAACCGACAATTTTGGACCATCATAGCTCTTCCCGCCTCTCAATGTGATGGCACACACATTGTGCCTTGGGTTTGCTTCAATTTGGGCATGCAACTTTCCTTGAGATTCTAGTTTGCTTACGGAAATAGCAAGCTGTGAAACTTGTTTCTCTAAGTTCTTTATGCTTGCTTTTGTCTCTTGTTGGAAAGCTTGTGTACTAGTTGCCAAACTTTTCACTATGTCTTCTAAAGACATACTTGATGAGCCCGCTTGTTGAGGAGGGTGTTTTGGTTGACTTGGCTGAAAGTTTTGTGGTGGAAAAGGTGGTCTTTGTTAGTATTGATGTGGTTGACTTGGTTGATAGTTCCCTTGTTGATTTCGTCCCCAACCTTGATTGTTATTCCATCTTTGATCACCTCGTGGCTGCTCATATCCCCTTTGACTAGACCCAAGAAAACCTCCCATGACTTTTACTTTTTCATAATCTTCCTCTTGAAGTTGAGGGCACATGTCGGTTGGATGCCCCACTTGAGTACAAATACCGAATGGACGAGGTGTGGGTTGCACACCTTTGTCTTTGGCTAGCATCATAACCACTATCGTAAGCTCGGATAATTAAGCTTCAATTTGAGGAGTTTGGACCTCCTTTACACCTCGGGGTGCATCCATGTACCATTCTTCTTCTTGGCCTGTATGCTTGGACTCTTCTGCCATATTCTTGATAAGAACTCTGATTTCTGTTGGAGTCTTATCAGCTATAGATCCACCATTTGATGCATTGAGTAATCTCCTATCCCAAGATGACATTCCTTCACAAAAATATTGCAGAAAGTGATATTCTGTAATCCCATGTTTTGGACATCTTGAACACAATTTCTTGAACCGTTCCCAATAAGTATGCAAGGCTTCTCTCTTTTGTTGCTTGATACCAATTATCTCTCTGCGTAAAGCTGAAGATCTCATTTCTGGAAAATATTTATCCAGAAACATCCTTGCAAGTTCATTCCATGTTGTGACTGACCCCGGTGGTAAGTCATATAACCACTCCTTGGTTGAATCTTGTAAAGCAAAGGGGAATGCCCTTAACTTGATTTGATCATCTGTAACTTCATGCGGCTTCATACCCACACAAACAACATGAAATTCCTTAAGGAATTTATGTGGGTCTTCATTCTCAAGACCACGGAATGAGGGTAACAAATGGATGAGTCCAAACTTGAGTTCAAAGTTGATTGCTGCAGGGTAATTTATGCACAAAGGTTGTTGGGTGACTTCTTGAACGGCCCATTGTCTAAAGGTTTGTTCAGGTGGTGGGAGTGGAGGATTTTCACCATGGTTGTCTCCCATGGTAGGAGTAGGAATAAAGGTTTCAAATTCGGGTATAGGTGAAGATGGGGTTGATGGATTTGATGAAGAAGCTCTGGATTGTTGTTGTTTCTTTAAAAGTCCGGTTTGCTTCCTTCTTTGTTTAGCAGATTTTTCTATCTCCAAATCAACTGGTAAATGTGTACATGTGCGAAAAGATCTTGGCATAAACAATTAGTACTACCGTATCCCCGGCAACGGCGCCAATTTGTTTAGTTGTCAAACCAACAAATAATAGGATAAAATAATATTAATAAAGCTCAAATCACCGCTATTTCTTATACTAAATATAGTATAGAGTAAGCAGAGTCGGTCCACAGGAATACATGACTTCTTATCTTGCCATATTTTCACACAATATACAAATAATATTAAAATGGGGGATTGTGTTTGAACTCGAATTAAACTTCATAAATAAGAAATATTGATAACAAAATGCAGTAAAAGAAGTACATTTCCGATTCTGACTCTTATACATGTATTATGTTGAAAGATGTAATATGATTATAACTCATTTTCAATCTAGGTTAGTAAGTTAGATATTAATAAACTCTAATATCCAAATTGGCAAAAGCATTTTATTCAAAACAAGTTCTTCAAATAAAACTTCATTTAATTGATTCAATTCAAATAAGTTCTTGCATCAAATCATTAAATGACATTAAGTTCTTGCACTAATTACCAACAATGTTTAACATTCCTCTTAAGCTTGGGAATATATGATGGGTTTTAGGCATAAGAACAATCCTATGTGCTCATACAAACCCTAGTGCTTGGATCTAGGTTTCTCTATTGTACATGCTTTGAATCCAAGACTAACAAACTCAGATCTAACATATTATAAACTGAATTAGGATTTATAGAATTACCTTTGATTGTTATATAGCAATAACAATCAATTCCTTTCTTGGATTGGCTTCAAAAGCTTAGTGCCTCAAGTGCTGCACCTCTAATGGAGTCACAA